CTTCTCGCACACACTGGAGTACAACCCCTCTCTCCTCCCTAACAAGTATACATATATAATGCATATCAACATTTCATCACATAAGATGTTCAATCAACCATGGTGTAATGTATACACGACAATTCAACGCAACCGTGACATCCTCCACCAATGACCAAGGACAAAACCTCACAAAACCTCTAGATGCATGTGTCTCGTACATCTATTAACAAACTCAATTATCATGAGATCCCAAACCCATCAACAACCCAAGTATGGTAGCTACAAACTAATCTCCCCAAATAAGTGCACTCAACATGCATAACACAACAACCCAATTCCCATATTTATTTTCTATGTCTCACATAGAGTTAAAGTTTCGTTCTTCACTTTCAAAATCAACTTTCATTATTTTTTTCAAATCAACATGTTCCACCACTTATTTCAAAAACACTTTTCTCATTTTCCCAGAATCAATTCCATTCCTTTCATAACTTTCCAAATTAATTATGCAAATTAAGTCATAATCATTAAGTTAGAGTTTTCTCCCTCTTTTCAACATTGACCAAAAAGGTTCAATCATCAACAATAAACAACAAAGACCTCGCTTGAGATCCAAAATACACAAGTATTTGCCCAAAGAACAAAACCCCTCTTTTAATTTATCAAGACACATGTAAATTAGGGCTTGTCTATGTTTCAACAACAACATGCTATTTTACGCCACAAATAGTCCAATGAACAACCAAAGATAATAAATCCATTCTTAATCAACTAATTCTAGGTTCCCTCGTGATTTTCAAACAAACCCAACATATGTATGGTTTTCATGCAATACAAAACTACCACATGTCTATCTATAAACGAAGTATTGAAAAAGAACAAGGAGATCCCTACCTCAAATTTAGAACTCGAGGAGAAGAAGAGCAAAACCCGGAAGTGCTCCAAATCCCAAATTTCTCGGATCAAAACGAAGCCCTCGACGATCAACACAATATTTACAAAGGCCAAAGGGTAGGAAAACACTCTAACTAGATCAATCCTAAGAGAGAAGTTAGGTTTTAGAGTGAGGTGCTCTCCAATGGAGGTTTTGAAAAAGTAAGAGAGAGAAAGGAAACCAAAAAGTGATCAAAAAGTGATTTCACGGACTGATATAAAAACAGGTCCGCTCGAGCGTACAACACCCCGCTCGAGCGTCAGACACAGGTTCACGCTCGAGCGTCCAAAGATCCGCTCGAGCGCCGGATGCACTCTCCCAGAATCTTCTACAGAGGTCCAAAATGCTGAGAGAAGGAAATTCACGCTCGAGCGTCCAAACTTCCGCTCGAGCGGAAAGGCAACAACAAAATCCCGCTCGAGCGTTAAATCGCCACTCGAGCGGAGAGACCAAAACCTGGGCAAAAATTCAAAGCTTTAAAACACAACCAACTTATTCCCAACTTGCCCAACACAACCCAAAACTCTAACACAAGGAGTAAGGGATAGAAATGAGGATAAGACAACAGCGAATCTACGGAACCGAGTCCGGATTACAGTTAAACAATAACAGGGAATACCGGGATCGCTATATTAAGTGTATATATATAAATATATAATAGTACTTGTTTGGGGTCAATTTGTGATTTAATAAAAAATGTACGGGCTTGGGTTCAATTAAAGTATCTATTTCAAGTGTAAAATAATTCAGTTTGTATTATTTTGCTTTGAATTTAAAGGTAAATAACCAAACGAAGATTGTAAAAATCGAAAGTTAAGGTTTAGAGCGATTAATCTAAAATTTGAGAGTTAAGTAATTAATATTAGAGTGTTAGAAGTGATTTCTAAGCTTCCAGGATCGATTAGGGTTTGTACGGATTCGCCCGTGATGCGTTTTCAGTCCTAGGGCTTAATTTGCGATTAATCGACGAACTAAGGGCTTTATTATAATAATTCAAAATTTAGGGACCTAATAAGGTTTACAAAAAAGTCAGGGGCCTCACAATTTTAATTTGAGACTTTTTTTTGATTGTTTATATATATCAAAAATTTATTTTTAATCCAGCACTTAAATTTTTATTAAATAAATTTTTTATTTAAAAAATTCAATATTTAATTTTCAATTCATAATTTTCAGTTTTTAATTTTTAATTTTCAAACTTTATAAAACACCACCATAGCATTTGCCTTCATAAATTTAAACTTGAAACCTATTCCCATAACAGTGATTTGGCTATTTAGGAAAATTATTAAATATTTTTGAAATATCATGTATTTATATCGCTTCACTAATTATTATTTATCATAATTTTTTACATTTTTTAATCACCCAACACAATATTTAAAAATAGGCATAAGATTAATTAACCCGCACAAACCGTTCGATCTTATCCTACGTGCACATTTTTAGACGGTTTCAAAGGCTATGTATAGGTGGATGTAGGTGTAGTTTTAGCTTAGTTTGTGAGTTGTTGACAGGTTACGGTTTATATTGCACAAATCCTACCAGCTCGCACAACTGATTAAAAAAAAACATTTATATTTTCTGTTCTTACCTTCACACATAGGAATGGCAACGGGGCGGGGTCAGGGATCAAACTCCCCGTCCCCGATCCCCGATGGTGGAAATCCCCTCGTCCCCGGCCCCGATCCCCGACGGGAAACCTATCACCGCCCCCACCCCCGCCCTCTAACGGGGATCAGGTTTCCCCGACCCCGAACATTCCTCGGCCAAAAAAAAAAAAACCAAAAAAAAAAAAAAAAAAATATATAATTTTATCTTTGGTAGGTAGAAATTATTTTTTAAAATTCTAAAATATTTTTTTGACATTTACTTTTGTCAAGTTAGTTTATATTTTTATCAAATTGGCGACTTTGCCCTTGAAATTGAGTAATGGTATCTTCAATTGTTCTTATTTGGAACAAAATTCAAAATTTAAGGTCAAATGTATCACAATTGAAAAGTTAGGAACCAAAATGACATGAGCCCTAAACTATAGCAACCGTTAGTGTAATTCACCCTATAATTACTGTCATTTAAGAATTTAAGTACTTTTTAAAATATAAGTTAAAACTTAAATAAAATTCAAGTCATATAAAACTTACTTAATTCTAACTGCATTTATAAATACTAAAAATAAATGTCGATATATATTATTATAAACTCACTGCTATCACCACCACCATCATGCCACCGCTACTGCCACCATTACTACTATCACCACCATTACTGCTACCACCATAACCATCACTACCACACCGCCACCATCCCGCCACCGATGTCACCACTACCTTCATCAGCATTTGTCATTGTTGCCATAAGCACTATCATCATTTTACTACTACTATCATCACTACTGCTACCGCCACAACCACCATCAACACTACCACTATCACCATCACCACCACCATCACAATAAAAAAAAATTAAAATATATACAATTTAAAATTAATAAATTTTAAATTTGATTTTATACATATCAAACAATTTATTTTCAGTTCCGCGCTTAAATTTTTATTAAATAGTTTTTTAGCTTAAAATATTCAACGTTCAGATTTCAATAATTAATTTTCAATTTTCAGTTTTCAATTTTCAATTTTTAATTTTATCAAACACCACCTTAGGGTATATATTAAAAAAATATTTAACCAGTATAATTAACTTCATTTATATAAAAAGTAGCAAAAATTTAAAAGTTATTTAAATTATAATAAATATTTTTTACAATACAACCAAATATCATTTTTACTTTCTCTCTGTTTTACTATTTTATCTTCTATTTTTTTTAATATCTTTTAACATTTGTCCAAATATAATATGTTTACATTACACTATTTCAAATGATTGGCTTAAAATTTTTCATCACTATAAATAACTTAAGTTTTTGATGTATCTTATCAAAATATATGTATTTGGTTGACTTTTTAAAATATTTTTTTAATTTTATAAATTAGTTTGGTGGGGAAAAAAATCAAACACTAATTATTTTCATATGATTTTTTCTTCTTTAAAACAAAAATAATTTTAAAAATTTTAAAAATATTTTTATATTTAATTTCATCAAATTAATTTTCAATTTTTAAAAATAAATTCAAAAATAAGTTTTAAAAATATAACCAAACAAAAATATTTTACAACTAGATTTCTTTGCATCAATACCATAAAGGTTGGCAAGGCCCGCACCATCCTAGAACCGTATCACTATCACAACATTTTTATGATTTTTTTTTTTGTATAAATTTTTATATATGAATAGAATTTTTCTAGCTTTTCTATTTTTGTGGGGGATCGGGGCCAGGGAAAATTCAACCATCGGGGATCGGGGACGGGGAGGGTGATCCCCGGCCCCGCCCCGCCCCGTTGCCATTCCTAGTTGTGAATAGAAAATTTTAAATTAGGATGAAGTCGAATTCCTAGAGCAGTGCAAGTTTTTCTTCTATAGTTGGAAAAGTTCAAAGTTGTGCTTTGCTTATGGTTTATTTACACCAGCAAACATATCAGTTCAATAAACTAATGTAAATATAAAAAAAATAAAAAATAAAAATAAAATGGAGAAAGAATGATGCATTTTGATGTGCCACAGAGAAAGGCGGCCATAAAAATCCATTATCTTGAATGGTCCAATGAATAATTTGGCAGGGAAAAAAACCCAAATTGCAACAAAAACAGGAATAGTTGACAGAAATTCTAAAATTCATCCAATACCACAACTTAAAGGAAATAATCCCATATTCTACAATGGACTTGTAACCCCTCCAAGTAACAATGGAATGTAAAACAGTTGGCAATTCAAATTCGAGGGAACACCTAAATGTGCAAGAGGCATAGAGAACAATTGCTACAAACCTTCTCTGATGCAATGCTACCAGTCCTTGCAAAATCATATTCCTCGAACTCATTAAATAACCTGGAGAAAAATATTGAAAGAAATTACAAATAAGAAAGAAAAAAAGCAGAAAGATTATTAAAAAAAAAAATTAAATACAGTGAATGAAGGAACAAAAGAAAATCAACTCATATGGAAAAACAACAAACATGCTCATTGGTAAGAACCCCATCTGGGTATACAACACCTCAATGGATGAAATTAGGGTTTTTAGGAGGTTGGAGGGAGGTGAAATGGAAGGCGGTGATATGTTTTGTGTTTCTGCGAAGCAACCCCTTTGGTTTACCCTGAAAAGATTCCAAAATGAGAGTGATTTGAAGAGTGAGTTTGGGAATGAGAATGAATTGTTACAGAGTAGCTGTGGTTTGACTAGTGTTGATGATTTAGAGATCGATTCCATTGATGTTTCTGACATAGACCCAGTAAAAGGTTTGCTTCCTAACTCCTTTTCTTTCACAATTTATATGTATACATATCAGTGTTAGAAACTCATTCGCATTATTAGTGTTAGAAACTTATTTTAATGGACAATTTCGGTATTATAAATAATATATAACCAATCAGCATGCACCAAATCGGAGACTTTTGGTGAGAAATAAAATTTATAAAGTTAGAGAGTTCTCTTTTGCTCCATTTTATCATCATTTCTCACTTAACTTATAAACCAAATATGAGGAAAGAGTTTTATGTCTCTTCATTTATTGAAAGTGTTACGTTTTATTTGGATAATGGATTTAGATAGGGATTTGAAAAGGGAAATGGAGAAAAATTTAACTTATACTTCTTTCACATTGTCCTTCCTTTTCCCATTCTTTTTCCACATCCTTTAGCTTATGTTTGGTTCATAAATTTGGAGAGGGATTTGGAAAGGAAAAAGGAAAGAAAAATGAAAAAGATGTGTGAAACGTAGGTGGAATTCCTTTCCAAAGTTATATTTCATTCACATTTTACTTACCTAGTCCTTTAGGTTATATTTGGTTCATGGATTTGGGGAGAGATTTGGAAAGGGAAAGGAAAAGATGTGTGAAACGAAGGTGAAATCCCTTTCCAAAGTTATATTTCATTCACATTTCATTTACTTTTTCCATTTCCCTTCCCAAATCCCTCCTCAAATCCATGAACAAAATACAGCCTTATAGAAATTTTGTTTAGGGGAAAACGAAGCAAGGGGAAAACCTTGCCTTTTGCTAGAAATGGCTACATTAAGATGGTTTAGCCCGGCAGATGGTTATGCCTTACTTGTTACTAGGCATTGGTATAACCTCATTTCCCCATGTATGTGTGTGTAAAAAAATGAATTTATAGTAGGCTGGCTGGTTTTTGTGAAAAGCAACTTGAATTGAATTTTAGAAGGATTTAGTGAAAGCTAATTGCTTCAATCTGTAACTTTGCTTTTGTCCGATTCTTTTATGGGTTGGTCCTGTTCTATTGTCCTGCTTTCCCGATGCTTTAACAGGCCTTTTTGTTAGAACAAGTTTCTTCTTTTCAGTCCTTTACAACTCCATTCTTATCCTCTTATGTTTTGTGCTGTGGCTGTTTGATATTTGTTACTGGTAATAAGTTCATATCATCATGTTAACATCAGTTCCAATCTCAGGTTTCATAAATCGTCATCTATGTTAGCATTCAGAATTCAATAATCTCTTTCAAATGCATTTATTACTCTTTGCTTTCCAATTTTTGCTCCTTACAAACTTCACCTACCCTAACATTCTTTCTTTGTTTTGGCCACAAATATTAATGTAGTCACTTATCTGTATTAGCCTCTCAGGCTCATTTTATGGGGAAACTCTCTCTTCCATTTATTCTCCCTCAAGGACTATTCAAATAAGACAATAGCAATGAACTGTATTTATTGGCCTGTCATGCTACTAACTCAAAAAATATTTGATTAGGCCTTTTTGGACTCATTCTAGATCTATTAGCATCCAATTCATTGGCCGTCTGCTTAATTGTTTCACACTGGCTTCTATTTTATGCCACTTGTTCCTGATATTATTATTTTTGTATATGGACATTTAGTGAAACCATCTGGTGTGTTACTTTTGCAAAACTCTATCTTGTGTCATGATTCATATCTAGATAGCACATTCCTGTTGCTATAAATTCTTTTGTGTGGAGAAATTTTTAGTAATCTAACATATTTACATCTATATATTTGTAATTCACATTTATGAACTGAAATTTTATATGTAGTTTCATAATGGCACAATTATGTTGCCTTTCTTTATCAAGTATCTGTTTTGGAATTGCAGAGTTTGGTTTTCTTGTAATGGGCCATGAGTTTGACCGCTACCCCAAGCAAATGATTCGGCATGCCAAGACTTGGGAATGGTTCCTTGAGCAACCTAATGAAGACAGCGAGGATGAAGTTTCCGACAGCAAAGGGAATAAAGGTGTAAGGAGAAAAAGGAAAAAATCTGAAGGCAATGATGATGACGAGTGGAGAGGTGAGAGGGAAGATGATAAGGAATTAATTACAAAAGTAAGAAAGGTGCAGAGACCCAAGTACTCTACTAGATCGAAGGACCATGACAAACCCACTAAGGACACAAGAAATAATATACATTCTGTCCAAAAGCAAACTATCGGTGCTGATGATGCATCTCTTCATCACACTACCTCCTATCGATTTCTCCGATAGCGAAACCAATCCTCCCATGGCAGCAATGCTGCTTGCAACAGCACCAACATCACTGGCACCAATGTAAAGACCCCGGCTCCCAGTAGCAACAATGCTGTGTTTCTTCTCCTCTGTACTGGTCATAACAGACGGAAATACATCCATCAGCTGAGGGTTGGTCTGGCTAGAACTGATGAGCAGACGCAGAGTTTCTCTTGCACCCTTTTCAACAACAGAATCAGATTCTCATTTTCAATGAATTTTCTTTTTTCCTACACTATATGGCATTCTTTTCTTTTGAACTCAATTATATGAAAATATTGCAAATAAGTTGACATACAGCACAAATTTTGGCTGTCTCTCATGTTTTGGTTCTTTGCTAGGGCTTCTGGTTTTACAGTGTATTTATCATCTTTTTGTGTGCTCGCTTTTGGTTCTTGTTTTCTCTTTTGAATATTATCTTTGGGGGGGCGGGGCATTCATTTTTTGTATGCTGTCCGTTTCATTTGCCTAGAGAAACAGCAAAAATTGTGTGTCGTTTTTTTTTTTTTTTTTATTTGTGAATTTTGTTATACTCTACTTTCCCATCAAATATGATGTTATGGTCAAGAATTTGTCTAAGTTGATAGAACAGGGTGATTGGTGCGTTTCATAGAGACTTCCAGTTTCATACAAAAGGTGAAGCGTACATTGATGTTTGTTCTTGTTATTTGTATTGTTGAACAAATTACAGACAAGATTTGAACTTTTGAATATTGATACAAGATGTTTAATTGGACGAATAACGTAAAGACAAACTAAGAATGTTCAGCAAGTTATGGCTATCTAAGTTCTACATTTTTTGGAAATAAATATCTTAGTTTTGGACCATTTTGAAGCTGTTGTAACTTCTTGAACCTATTGATTTCTTGGCAGATTTTCACCCTTACAAACTTGTTTAGGAAAATACTCACCTATGAATCTGGTAACTTTTATTTGATTTTGGCAGAGATATATTTGTTTTCGAATAAGATTGTCTTTGTGAATTTCTTTACACTACGCTGGTTTCAGCGGAAGACATTTTCCAACAAATGTATATCAGAGAAAATGTTTTCCTACGTTTGGTTGTGTCCTGGTGGTGGTGGTAGAGGTGTGGCAGAGGTGGAGGGGGGAGGTGGTGTCAGCGGCCTGGTGGTGGTTGTGCAGTGGCATTGGCTAGGCATTACTCCAAAAAATGGAAAACAATTTTTGTCCAAATAGATTTTATTTTTATTGACTATGAAAAATGTTTTATATTAACTTTTGTTTTTGTTGTATCAAACACCAAAAAATGCAGAAAATATTTTCCCAAACAAAAAAAGCATTAATTTAATTGAGAATGGCTCTATTTTTTAACAGCTAAAAAAATCATTTTTTTTTCAAATTTTTTTGGGGCAAATTTTACTTTATCTCTTGTGCTTTGAGCCATGTACAGTTTACCTCCTAACATTTGGAAATAATCAAATAACCCCCTATGATTTATGGACTGAAGTGTACCGTTAGGCCCATTAACGATTTAATGAAAAAGACTAAAATATCTATGTATTTTCGTTATTTGTTTGAAAGGTAAAGTGCATTTTAACTCCTGCACTTATTCCATGTGTAATTTATCCCATTAAAATTTGAATATGAGCATATAACTCCCTTAATCTGTTAGTGTTTCACACTTACTGTTAAGTTTGACGGAATGTTTAATGATGCACTTCAGTCCATAAGCCACAAGGAAGTTATGTGGTCATTTTTAAGCATTAGGAGGATAAAACACTCATGACCAAAACTACAAGGCGGTAAAGTGAAATTTCCCTCCCCTCCTTTTTCTTTTTCTTTTTTTATTTTAAATTCGCATCAATTTTTTACTTTGTTTTTGAAGTCTTACTACAAGAAAAAGCAGATTTCGCGACTAAAAATAGATTTTTCGTCCCTGAAAGTAGCAGAATTAGCGACTAAAATTCAATTAGTCGACAAAAGTGAACACTTTTGGCAACTAAAACAGTTTAGTAGCCGAATGTAGGGGTTTTAGCGACTAAAAGTCAGTTTACTCGCCGAATGTAGGGGTTTTAGCGACTAAAAAAATTTTAGTAGCCAAAAGTATACGTTTTGGCGACTAAAAAATAGTTTGGTCGCCGATTATACGTGTTTTACCGACAAAAATCAATTTCGTAGCCAAAAGTGAAGCTTTTTGGCTACTACAAAAAATTTAGTAGCTAAAAGTCAAGAATTGCCGACTAAAATGCAGTTTAGTCGCCCAAAGTAGAGGTTTTGGCGACTAAAATTCAGTTTAGTCGCCAAAAGTGCTATCCTATTTTTTTTAGTGACAAAACAGAAATTAGTAGCCAAAAAATATAGAATTCGCGACTCAAATTCAGATTTAGTCGCCAAATAAATAGTCGCCAAATACCGGTCAATATAGTATATAAATAATATATGTTGCATTAATATTCATGTGATGTTGTAGTGGCGTAGTGGGGAGAGAGTGTTGGTAAAGGTTGAGAATGTTGGGAGGTTGGTGGTTTGAAACTTGGGAACAACAGAGGCAATTTTTTTTTTTTTTTTTTTTTTCTGAAAAATGCTTTTGGCGACTAAAGTCTGTGATCGCCGAAAGATTGGCTATTGGTGACGAAAAGTTTAGTCGGAAAATGTATAAATAAATAAAAAAAAATTCACTATTGGCGATTAAAAGTTTAGTCGCTAAATGTATAATTTCCAAAAATGGAATTGACTATTGGCGACAAATTCTTTAGTCGCTGAAGACCTATATATTGCCGACTAACAGTTTTTTAGTTGCCAAAGGTATTCGCGATCATGCATTCGCGACAAAATTGGCGACTAAAATATTTAATCGGGGAAAGTGAAAATTCGACATTTGACGACTAAAAAAGGACTTTTGGTGACTAAAAATTTAGTCGCCAAATGTGTGTTTTCTTGTAGTGTCTGTTTGATCTAGGTGGTTCAAAAAATAAGCATATGGCTCTATTTGGCAATAGCTAAGAAAATCATTTTTTGATTTTTAGTGATTTTTTAAAAATTTGTCATTTTTAAAAAAAATAAATTTTCAAGTTTGTATAGTCTAGAAGGATCTAAAAAATAATTTTTTTTTATAAAAAATTACTAAAGACAAAAAAAATGTCTTCGTCTTTTTTTTTTTTTAAATCTTTAGTGGATTTATTTTTTTATTTTTATTTTTTTTTTACTTTTAAGGTCTGTCTAGTCTAGTAAAATTTAAAATTGTAAATTGAGAAATTGCAAACACTAAAGGTGAACATGTAGGCTTGTGGGCGTGCCAGGACTTGTGAACCTACTCCAAGGTATAGGAATATTTGAATATTTCTGACTTCTAACACAGAGAAATAAAAGTGTGTGGCTCAGAGAAACCGCCACTTGTTCGGATCTTGTCCCGATGAAGAGCACTTTTATCAAATTTGCTAGGTGCAAAAGTACAACTGAATTAGAATTGACCTTGCATTGATTGAAAATGAAGTACAATTGATTAATCTAAGACTAATTTGGATAAACAACTAATTGCTGGAATTGATGCAAGACCCCTAACTTTTGTAATTCCTTTAAAGCCTTACTTTTGAGTTATTTCAATGAAAACTCTCAATTCCTCGTTTATTTGCAATTGTAACCTCGAAATCGAGAACTTGTCCCGATCGATACCGTGCATACCCTAATTGATCCTAGTAACTTAGTAATCACTTCTAATACCCTAATACTAATTAATTAACTCTCTAATTATAGATTGATCACTCAGAACCCTAGATTTAAGGTTCTCATTGTTTTCGTTCAATTGATCGTCTTTTAATTCGATGCGAAGAAAAACATAAACTGAATGGCTTTCCCTAACCCTAATTTAATTAAATTCTACACTTTAATAGATATTCTAATTCATAAATTAAGGCTTAGTCCTTATATAGCGTTTCTGGTTTAGATCTGACCTATTTGATGTTTTGGGTTCGAGTTTCATTGTCTCATACAGTTGTTCATGTATTGTTTCCCTTTACTTCTCTTTGGGCTTGGCTACTGGGATGTGTTGGTGCTATTTGGAACAGGTTGGTAGCTTGTTTTCAAACTGTTGCTGTCCAGAATTCTGCTTCTTCGCTCGAGCGACACTTCTTGCGCTCAAGTGGTCTTTGTGGACTTCTAGTACTTTTGCAGGTTTGCAGAGATACTGAGAATTGGCATTTTCTGCTCGAGCGATGGTCTTCTATCTGCAAAACTTCTAGGAGTTTGCATTCTTCGCTTGAGCGAAAGTTCCTGTGCTTGAGTAGTCCCATGTCTTTTGTGTCTTGACGCTTGAGTGACACTTTTTGCGTTCGAGCGATATGTATGTATATCAGTTTGCAAGGTCACTTTCTGAGTCACTTTTTCATCTCTCTCTCTCTCTCTCTTTCTCTCTCTCTGAACGTTCTAAAAACCCTAGATCTAAACTCTCTCTCTCTAAAACTCTACTTCTTTATAACAAATACACCTAGATCCGTTGAGTTCTTCACCCCGTGTCCCTTTGTTAAAAAGGTAGAGCACGTCATAGGCTTCCTTTTGATTCGAACAAAGTTAGGTTTTGGGCTTTGTTGAAGTTCCATCACTCTTTCTCTCATCTTCTAAACTTGAGGTAGGGATTCTTCATACCTTCTATGAGTTTTTTAACTTAGTTATTTGAATTTCCAAACAATATTGTGATTTTAGGAATTTTTGAAACAAATCTAGGGTTCTGGATTAAAAATCAAAAGAGGGGTTTTTACAATAGATCCATGGAAATGTTTGTGGTGTTGGAAATAAAGTTGAGTGGTGATAATGTCACGACCCGTTCCGCCCCTAGTAGAATGGTGCCATGATAGCCAGTAATCCGAGATTACCAAAGGCCAACTTACAAAGTCACACGGAATCAGAGTATATATATGGGGTTTATATGTGCGGAAGAACAAATTTAAATCTAAATAGTCCACAAGAGCTATGCATAAGTCAAATGAAATGGCATACATCTTAACATGGTTTTACAACTTGAATACAAATAAAATATAGTACATATTACATCTTGATCAAAATGCTTCTCAAGCCGACATATACAAAAGAAATGAATTACAAAGATAAGAAGCATAATCTTCAAGAAGCTAACAAAACATGAATCCAAAACAACTTGCAAATAACATCTAGGCGTCACCGCCTTCTTGCTCGTCACCTACATATATATAAGAAGAGGGTGAGCTTGGATACTCAGTGAATGATATTAGTA